GAGAACCTATATACATAGATGTATATAGATCCAAGAATGAGATAATATCCCTCGGATGAAATTTCCCAAGTGACTCATTAATGAGGTTTGATACTTATTGAAGTATCTCAAAAGTGTCAAAAATTGGGGAGTGAAAGCCTGGGATCCCAAACTTCATCTCTGGGATCCCAAACGTCACCTTTTCAAATGTCATCTTTTAAAACTTCATCTTTAAAAGCACCCATTTTACAGAAGCCTCTGTTTTTCTTTCCACACTGCTCTTGCTTCACTGCACCCTGTCTGCACACAAGCATAAAACAGAAAACTGCAAAACGCTTTGCTAAACCAAAGCAAGAAATCGTATTTAGCTCTGCAGGATGCAGTTAGAACAGTAGCTAGAAGCTTGTTGGGAGAATACCCTTTGCTGGAAAAGTAAGGCAATGTGATATTTATTAGCTTGGGCTGGGAGGCAGGCAGGGGGCTAGTAGTATAGGTCATGCTAAAAATAGCTGAACAACATCACCTGTGCATTTGCTATTCCAACCTGAACAGCATTACTTGTACAGGTGCTATTTTAATGATGATAAGAAATTTGTAGCCAATGGCTGTATTGCTCTTTTAAAATTTCTGTATCCCAAATTTAGAAATAAAATGATAAATTTCCACTTTCCTTGACTCTGCATGATTGATTAGTCTTCGTGCCTGATAAACAAACCCCAGATTGACTCTTGGCCATCTTCCTCACTTAATAATCGGTCACTTAGCTATGGTTGAAAGTCATGATACCTCCCCCAGCTACTTACTACCCCTTTTTGAACTTATGGTTGCTGCAGCACCTCGGTAGTCATTTGCCCTTACAGCTGACTGCATGGATGCTGCAGCAGCCTCTCCACCTCCACCCCCCTCTCCTTCCCCGCTGGTGCCCCACAGGCCTGCATTCTACTCACCTGTCATCCATCATCCATTTGCCTTTTAAAGACCTCCTTGTATTCAGCACAGAGGGCAGGCCATTCATCCTTGAGCTAGGTGGCTGCCTCCTGGACGTGGCTGCCATTTTCAGCATGACCAAAATTCCTCGTGGTCATGCTGAAATGGCAGTCACTTCCAGGAGGTAGGTAGCCACATGGCCCAGGAATGAATTGCTGCATTCTGCTTCCCTAATGCAATCTGTGCAGCACTGGAAAGCTCCAGAGCTTTCCTCAGTGCTGCGTAAGCCATTTTAAGGTAGCAAAAGTGACTTGCTATTTTCAGCATGGCCACTATTCCTTGCCTTTACCTCAAAATGGCGTCTGCTTCTGGAAGAAGGGACGGACTGCTCTGCGATACTTCTCCAATGCAGTCTGTGCAGCACTGAGGAAACCACCAGAGCTGCAGATATCTTCGATAGGCACATACACAACTGGGTTTAGGATGGAGGAGAGGCCCACAAGGGGGAGGTTGGAAAGGCCAGAGGGGACCTGGTGGGAGGAAAGCAGGGAAGTGGAGACTGGAGTATCTCTGCAGGTAGGGGAAGTCTTGGGAGAGCAGGCCAGTTGGGCCTGGGCTTGTTCTCCCAGGGCCTCCGTCACCTGAGGACCCTATGCTCTGCTTAGTGACCCACACGTTAAAAACAACTACATCAGGGAGTGGGTGAGGAGTGGGTGGAGGGCTTTCAGCACTTGCAACTGTAATGGACAGGCTCCCATCACGATGTAGGTTGAGGATTACCTATTCTGCCTGCAGTTTTTTCCAATCCTCTCTGAATTGATAAACAGGAGGTTCCCCCTTCATTTGCAAAAAGAGCAACAAATACATTTGTAATGGTATCCCGACAATTCGCACACATTCTGAACATGTGTTAATTGCCATGCATTGATATACATTTGCCTAGTGATTTGCAAAATATTATTTAGAACAGTTGGGTTACAAGGTGGTCACAAGAGAAAATGGATTCTTGGAACTATTAACAGGCTTATTGAGAAGCTTCAAAACCCACTAATTCATCAGAGCAAAACTTCACTGTTGCAGGGCAAATTCTATGAATGGGGCATTTGAGCATCTCCGTGAGAGAAGTTTGCCAGCAAAATTACATAAGCACACACGTATTTCAGTGCATATACATAGAATCAGAAGTTTCAATTAGTAGCAGATTCCCCATAATGATCAGGCACACATCTGTTATTGATATGGGAGCTGATGTCGCCATGGCTTCTTCAATCTGTCCTCTTACCAACTGTTTCTTTTACAATTTTCATACAGTGTTGTAAACACATTATGTTTAAAGGTAAAGTTAAAAGGTTCCCCTTGCATATATGTGCTAGTCCCACACACAGCTCTAGGGGGCGGTGCTCATCTCCGTTTCAAAGCTGAAGAGCCAGTGCTATCTAAAGATGTCTCTGTGGTCATGTGGCCAGTGTGACTAAACACCGAAGGCTCACGGAACGCTGTTACCTTCCCACCAAAGTAGTCCCTCTTTTTCTACTTGCATTTTTAGGTGCTTTCGAACTGCTAGGTTGACAGAAGCTGGGACAAGTAACGGGAGCTCACTCCGTTACNAAGCCAAAGAGCCAGCGCTGTCCGAAGACGTCTCCGTGGTCATGTGCCCGCATGACTCAACGCCAAAGGTGCACAGAACACTGTTACCGTCCCACCAAAGGTGGTTCCTGTTTTTTCCACTTGCATTTTTACGTGTTTTCGAACTGCTCGGTTGGCGGAAGCTGGGACAAGTAATGGGAGGCGCTCACTCCATTACACGGTGCTAGGGATTCGAACCACCGAACTGCTGACCTTTCTGATGGACAAGCTCAGCGTCTTAGCCACTGAGTCGTCCCTTTTCGACGTGGTGGCTCAGTGGCTTACCCATTCTAATCTTCATCTAATCTCTGTTTTAATTCTGGAGGAAAGAAAAATCTAGATAACTTCACACCAAGAGAAAGGATAGAAAAATAACACTCAGTCCTTATTGCACTTCATAAAAATCTCCAATTATGAAAAAGAAGACAGAACAACAGATCAAGGAGAACAGGCCACACATCTCAAAGCAAAGGGAAAGATTAAAATCCACGCAACGGATCCAGGATTGGAACTGTTTTTAGAAGAGTATACAGTAGTGGTCAAAATTGTGGAAACCTTTTGGGAAAAGTGTATTTTCTAAAACTAGCTAATAACACACCACTTATTTTTAGAAGTACCATAAAATTATAGATCAATTGAAAGATCATTTAATCAAGAATGTAATGCAATAACTTTTATGAAGGGTTTGCTATTAGAATAGCTGTTGCAGTATAAAGAAGAAAAGTGAAACACGTAGAAAAAAATGAAATGTACAAAAATTATCACCAAAGGGGAAAAAAAACGATATATACAAAAATTATCACCATGTCAATTAATACTTAGTTGGGTAACCTTTAGCATGAATTAGGGCCTTACAGCATCTTCCCGTAGAGGGATCCAAGTCTCTTAGTTCTGCAGCTGTTATAATGGGAAACCAAGATTGAATGATAGCTTCTATTAACTGGGTTTTATTGCTGGGTCGCTTCTGACTAACCAGTTTCTTTAGTCGGCCCCATAGATTTTTTAATTGGATTAAGGTCTGGGCTATCCCCAGGCCATTCCAGCAGTGGAGTATGATTATCTTGAAACTCCACCCCCCAAAAGTGGTGTTATTAGCCATCAAACCTCAAAAATACATTTTCCTTAGAAGGTTTCCACAATTTTGGCCACTACTGTAAACCATATCCCCTCCTCCCCAGCACACATGGTTCTCACCATCCTGCTGCAGCAGAGAGCAACTATCACAGCCAGAAGTGGTTTGGTCTATGCCTGATAAAGCAGTATGGTGGGGTAACTCTGAATTGTCAAAGGGTGTTACGGTTTCTGCGTTGGTGATTAAGCACGACGGTTTATCTGAGTTGAACAAAGCGGAAGAGGAGAGATTCTCACGGTCTGCGGGCTGGAACCGTGCAGGTTTGCATTGTGATAGTAGGCAGAAAACAGGGGTGTTTGGTAAAAAAAAATTCAAGCCGTCTCTTTCCCTCCCCAAGAAATAAACCAACAACTCTCTCTGAATGTAAGAAAGGCGATGTCCTGCTTTGATCACGTGTTTAGACAGGTAATAATTCTGTTAAACCGGTGGTGGGTTTCAAAATTTTTTCGAACCTACTCTGTGGGTGTGGCCTCCTTTGTGGGGGTGGCTTGCTGGCCATGTGACCTGGTGGGAGTGGCTTGCCGGCCATGTGTTTTNGGGGAGCCTACCTTAGCCACAAAATAGTCTAACATGCTGAGTTCCGGGGGGATGAATTTCTCTTTGTAGGAAGGTCTTTCTGCAGGGACTGGGGGAGGGACCACACTCTCCTTGACGGGTCTTCCAGGCACCAGCATTCTCATGTTGAATCTCCTGCGATGCTTGTCTGTCTCTTCGGAAGGGACTGGAGGGGCTAAGCAGAGAGAGAGAGAGAGAGTTTAAAGAAATACACAAAATATATGGTTCTTGTGGCCCACCAGTGGGCAGCAGAGCTGGCAGCAGATTCAGACAGGGAGGAGATTGGGGAGGAACATGGGCCAGTCCTAGAGTCTGGGGAAGGCTCTGACGAGGGCTCTGCATCTGAGGCAGAGACGGGGCTGAGGCCTTTTAGCAGTGATCAGGTACCTACAGAGCTAAACAGCAGTGAGGCAGATGAACAGCTGGAGCCTGTTCCCAGTGTGCGCAGAGTTGCCAGGTGAAAGAACAGGGGTCGACTTAGGAGTAAGGCCACAGTTGGATGGTGAATGGCCTCTCCTATAGGGAATAAAAGGGGAGCGAAAGGGGAATGGAGTTTGCAGGAGACAATTAGTTCACTCCTGCATTCTTGCCAAGTATTGCAGCATCTCCAAACCTGATAAGGGTCAGTAATTGTGAACTATCTTGAAAGACTGTGGGAGAGGAAAGACTTTCCGGAGAGGAATTTACTGTAAATTAAATAAAAGGGGTTTATTGGGATGAGGACTCGGCTTCGTGCTGCTTCGTGAGAACAATGATGAGGACAAATTGGCATGTTCATCGTTCATTCCATAGTGTCAATATCAAACTTCAGGAAGAGAACACATCATACAGGTTGTAGAACTGAAATTATAGGAAGATCACATAGAAACTACATTTAGGATTAAAAAGAACCAAACAGGTCCTGGTAATCTTCAGGCAGAGCCTATGAAGTGGGAATGAGATCCACCAGATTTCTGGAAGTTGTGAGACATTCTTCCAACATAATATTTTGAGAACAATCGATATTTGTTCACTATCAACCACACAAAGTGGAATCTTTTCAGAAGAAATAACTAGGCAGCGCTGAAGATTACTCTTATTTTACGGCAAACAGGCTCAAATTTCAAAAAATGCAGATCCATCTACATCGGATCGACCGGTCTAATGCAAACTACCAGCCATGGTTGATAAAATACGCTTCTCTGAGGATGATCAAATGTTGTCAAATCTCAGTCAAAACAGGCTTAAAAAGCATCCGTTCAGCAAGAAAAATTAAAAGAAAAAGGCAGAAGGGTTTCCCCCCTGATTAACTCAAGTGCAAAATATTCTTATTCTGAAATTTGATTCTCCCACCCTCTTTTTAAAGAGAACTGTAGCTAGAGGCAGTGGCAGGTTGAAATATTTCTTAATCAAAATAAAGATTCAATATCTTGTAAAGATATCTTGTAAAGATATCTTTAGCTTTACAAGAGAAAAGTAGTTTAAAACATCAAGAGGAAAATCACTGCATGATTTTAGAGGCCTGTTCCTAAATGTGGTGAAGTAGGTGATAATTAATGCAAATTTGTCCTCGTATAATATTATATCCTAGAATCTTATTTCTTGCAGAGATTGGATAGGCTTCTGTCCTTCTATAAGCCAAGAAACTTTGATTAAGATATTGGAGACGGAACAGATCAACATCTCCACATTGTTTGTAAGGCTGCTCTTTGAGTATCTGACAACATTTGACACTACAAACTGAACAAAACTTGGTCGAAGAGGTTTCGCTCCTCATACAAGTAGGATCACACTACACGGCAAAGCCACACACACCTTCCTTAGTGTCCTGTGCATCACCAGAAACTGGATCGGCGACTGGATTTAAAGAAATGTTAGAAGTGAAAAACAAAACAAAACATTGTGGAAATTAGAAAAAAAAAGGAAGCAGGGGAATATAATTTAGGAACTAGTTTTTAAAACACTGCATCAGAAAGATAGAATTTCCATAGCCTTTGTCAACAGAAAGCACGGTCTAGTCACATGTCAGGATTTGCTAACCCATGCTAAGGTAAAGATAAAAGTTCCCCTCACACATATGTGCTAGTCGTTCCCGACTCTAGGGGGCGGTGCTCATCTCCGTTTCAAAGCCAAAGAGCCAGCGCTGTCCGAAGACGTCTCCGTGGTCATGTGCCCGCATGACTCAACGCCAAAGGTGCACAGAACACTGTTACCGTCCCACCAAAGGTGGTTCCTGTTTTTTCCACTTGCATTTTTACGTGTTTTCGAACTGCTCGGTTGNTGTGGGACGAGGGGGGTCAGAACATTACTATAACTCTTGTCTCGTGGGCAGTTGGCCATGGCAAGTTGGCGGTGACGAGTTGGCCATGTGAATTGTCATAGACCCCCATCTAAAAGTGGCTTCTTCTGCCTAGATTAGTCTGTAAGGCCAGCAATGGGACCTCATTAAAACATTGTTCAAAATCTCAACCTTTCAAAAGACCGGAGTTAAACACATGCTTCATGTTCTCAAAAAACGAGTGAGCTATAAATTTATGGAAGCAAGGTTAACAATCCTTTTCAGAATAGGATAGGATAGAATAGAGCTAGGAGGGATCTTGGAGGTCTTCTAGTCCAGCCCCCTCAAGCAGGATAACCTCTACCATTTCAGATAAGTGGCTGTCTGGTTTCGTCTTAAAAACCTCCACTGATGAAGCGCCCACAATTTCTGGAGGCCAGCAGTTCCACTGGTTAATTATCCTCACTGTTAGGAAGATTCTCCTTAATTCCAGGTTGCTTAATAGTTTTTTTTAGAAGTTTAGAGGGTGCTACTAAGCAATCAAGAAGGTGAGAATAAGGTCAGGCAAGACATTTCAAAAACGGAAATTTGCTTGATTCAGCTCTTACTGGAAAACCTCTGAGCTTAAAATGATAGCAGTTCAGCTCACAAATGCTCATTTCCAGAGCGAAGTCTAACTGGCATGACGGTTGCACGGAGACATTGAGAAAGGAGGCTTTTCTTACCAGGCCATTGAGCAGGCAGTGAGTTCGGCGTGACGTGTTCTTCGATGCTCTCCGTCCTCAGACGCCGACGGTCGCTGAGCAGCAGCCCTTGGTAAACCATCCCTGTGAACTGATTGGTTTCTGTCTGACTGCTAAGAAAAAGTTTTAAAAAATTTTTTTCTTTAACTCAGAATGGAAAAATCTTACACCAAAGCAAATCAGTGTCAGGGTGCAAGTCAGAGATGGGTTCCTACCAGTTCGCACCTATTCNATGAGAGCTAAATAGCTTGAAATAGATCTATACTAGTCTCCCTTTATTTATTTATCAGCAAATATATATATGTGTTGTATTTGTGCTGATAAATAAATAAAGGGAGACTAGTATAGATCTATTTCAAGCTATTTAGCTCTCATCAGCTATATATATAAAAAAGCTTTGCAAAGGATGTAAAAACCAGCACGAACAAACAGTGAACAAAAGCAGGGAAGAACCCCAAAGGGAGGAAAAAAGCAGAAAGAATAAAAAGAAATATAGAGAAGCTTCTTACTTTTCTGTTACAAAAAAAACCCTTCACTTTTTTTTCTATTATCCGTTTCTTTCTAATCTTCAAAACACAAATCATAAATCATTTTTTTTTCTGCTTTAGGCAAAGAGCTTCCAGGATGTCCACGACTTAAGACCATAACTGAGCCCCAAAGTTTGCGTTGCTGATTGAGACAGTGGTTCAGTGAATTTTGCCTCATTTCTACAACGTTTCTTGCCACAGTTGTTAGATGAATCCCCGCAGTTCTTAAATGAGTAATGCAGTTGTTAAATTAGTAACCCGGCTGTTAAAAGAGAATCTGGCTTCCCTCAGGTGAACCTTCTTACCTGCTGAGATTCCTGTAACAAGAACTTCAGCTCCATTCTTACGGAAGCCAGGCCGCCGCCCTGCGCCCCGTGAAGGCTGCAATAGCTGAGGAAAACCCGCAGAAGCGCCTGGTTTTTCTGGAGCCACCATTTCCGCCGCTCCGCGTGCTCTCGCTTGGCTTGCAACCGCCTCCGCTCGATCTGATGCCACTCGTAGGAGCCCGGCGGCGTCTTCTCCCCCATCTCTTGGTGACCCAAGAGATCCCCGCTGACTTGGCTGTCGGCTTGGCCGTCCTCTTTGCTCTGGGTGGCCTCGTGGTTGCAAATTTCATGCAAGGCGGCGATCTCTTTCTCCAGCCAGTTGTACAACTGGAAACGGAGCTTCCCGCCGTCGACTTCGTAGCCCGTGGCCAACGTTCTCAACTCCGTCATGAGGATTTTGAGGCAGGCCCGGAACTTGAGCTGTTCCGCAATCACGTCGACCTCCGTTTTGTCGACCTCACCTTCCTCGCCTTGACTGGGATCGGGACTTTTGACCTCTTGTTCTTTACTTTCCAGGTCGTTCATCATCAAACCTTTCTCCTCTTCGTCATCAAGTAAACTGCTTTGCTCATTCCCCCAGTCAAGTTTCAGAGGTTCGTCTTCAAAGGTTATCAATGGTTTGCCCCAGTCCACCAGGGAGGAAGCTTCCGTCGTGCCCACCGGCTGCGACCAGTTGGCCGCGCTGCCTTCGTCTAACCCGATTAGGTCTACCTTCAGGCCATTCTGCGTTACTGGTGTGGCTTCTCCTTTCTTGGGCGAAAGTACGGGCTTGCTTCTTATTTTGGGAAGCTTCGAAAGCACTTCCAGAGCCAGGACAGGGCAGCCAACTTTGAAATGAGCATTTGCTGTGGTGAAGAAGAGCTTCCGTTCGATGAGGTTGATCTTGTCCACAAAACTTTTATCCGCCTGCAATCCCAACGTTGCTAATGTCCCATCGGGCGAGCAGAAGTTCCTTCGGATGAGCAAAGGGTGGGTACGCAGGTAGTTGTAGAAACTGAACACCACGGGGTTGCAGGATTTGACAATCACTAGAGAAAATGGAAAGAAGGTTGTTGAGGCTTTCCCTGAACATCTGTCACCCCAAATTTAGCAGCCGAGGGGGCCCTTTGGGACTGAAGAATACCTGTGGGTCCCAATCAAGAAAGGCATGGTTCTCTGGTAGGCCCAAAGGCACTTCTTTTCCCAAAAGACAGCTGGAGTGTCTTGTTTTTTGTTTTTTTTCCTGCTAAAATGTTTTTATTTTCCATTTTCATACAGTCACATATATACTGTGCNCATATCCGGTCACATGGGCGGCAAGCCACTCCCATCCGGTCACATGGGCGGCAAGCCACTCCCACAAAGGAGGCCACACCCACAGAGTAGGTTCGCACAATTTTTGAAACCCACCACTGGTGCAAGTGGCAGGGTTGGAAGCATAAAGACTTGTGAGCCAAGAGCTCTAGAATGGCCTTAAGATCGATCTCTCTCACACACACAAGCACACACAAGCAGCATTCCAATGGATATTTCTGCAAACAAAAACAGATGAAACAGAAGGGGCTCCTTGACCAGGAGGGTACAATGTGTTGTGGTCCATTGGCGGCCTGTGGAGCTGGCAGCAGAGTCAGACAGTGAAAAGGTTGGGGAGGAACAGGGCCCAGTCCTGGGGGGCTGAGGGAAAGTCAGATGAGGGCTCTGCGTCAGAGGCAGAGAAGGAGCTAGACAGCAGCGAGGCAGAAGAACAGCTGGAGCCTGTTCCCAGTGCACGCATGCGGAGAGCTGCCAGAAGACAAGAACAACTAAGAAAGCAGGGTCGACTCAAGAGTAAAGTCACACCTTGGAGGTGATTGGCCCCTCCCATGGGAAACAAAAGAGGACTGAACGGGGAAGGGTTTTTTGCAGGAAACAATTCGTTCATTCGGTCTGGAAAGTTCGGTTTGTGAGAAACTCTGTGCCAAGTTTTGCTTTGCCCTGTGTTTGTAAACTGATGATCTGGCAGAACTCTAAACGAGATAAGGTGCGTGTGGATAAACATTCCTTTGAAAGACTGTTTGATAAGCCTGGCTGACTGTGAATGAAAGGAATTCACAGTCGTGTCAATAAAAACGGTTTTGTTGGGACCAAGACTTTGCTTCTTGCTTTCTAAGGAAGCCTGGGTCAGGACACAATGCTTCGATCGGTCAATTCTGTTCAGGGGTGATTTGATTGCAATATTCTGCAAGTCCTTCCAAACAGCCCCAACCAAGAAACCAAGGTTATTAACAGCAATGCTACTTTTATTATAGGGAATCTCTGAATTCCTATTTTGGTAACTTGAATTCAAACCAAATCGATTCATGAGACGAATACATCAAGCGGGATCTTGTTTACCACTCAACAAAAATCCAAAACAGTCTCTATCCTCTACAGGAGCACAATTAGCATTGCAACACATCTGTGGCAAACCCATGTTCTGTCCCACAAAGGAGAACAACAGAGCCATGCTGGGGAGAAGGGCACAGCGAAGGAAATCTTACCTGTAGCTATGGCTGTCACATAAGGCTTGATAAATCGATGCAGAAAGGGAAGCAGCTAAAGAATAAAGAGTATGGACCTGAAAATGGAAGCGGAAGAAAACTGGTTAAGATATTATGAATATATTTCCAGGCTGAATTGTTGAGTGGTGAGGTAGCCTAGAGGGGGAGCTCCCGCCTCACAACCAGGAGGCTGTGAGTTCAGTCCTAGGTAGAGGCAAGTATTCTCTCTCTCTGGGCACAATAAGAATACATCATGGCGACAGGAAGGCATCCGGCCAGTAAACACTCAGCTTTGGAAAGAAGGTTGGATGAAATGGCCTCCAAGATCCCTTCCAACCTTATGACACAGCTCTATCTGTACTATGAGATCTTTGTTTTGGAAAGAAGGTTGGATGAAATGTCTTCCAAGATTCCTTCCAACCTCATGACACAGCTCTATCTGTACTACAAGACCTTTGCTTTGGGCAGAAGGTTGGATGAAAAGTCTTCCAAGATTCCTTCCAACCTCATGACACAGCTCTATCTGTACTACAAGACCTTTGTTTTGGAAAGAAGGTTGGATGAAAAGTCTTCCAAGATTCCTTCCAACCTCATGACACAGCTCTATCTGTACTACAAGACCTTTGTTTTGGAAAGAAGTTTGG